TTAAGCATCTTCACTGTAAGAAAAACACTTTAGCTGCAGCAGTCCTTCAGTCAAGAGCAGCGAGGGTTTTCTCGTTATGTTTGTTTAATAATGATAAAAACAGGCGGCAGAAGGATTATAGCGCGCTGTATCTTTAATAGTTTCTTTTTCACGTCTTTTGATCCTCAACTCGTTTGTTTATTACACAAATGAGGGTTAATGTACATAATCACTGAACACCGCGTTTTGACACCTATTTGACCATTAAAGCGCTCACGTTAAGATGACTTTAGATGTCTGCGCTCCTCTGCTCGTCTCAGTGTGTGAATGAGAGTGAATGCTGACCGGCCGCATGCTTCTGACTGCGTGATCGTGCTGCACACACACACACACACACACATAAGCTCTTTCGCGCTTTTAAGAGCCATTTAAGAGCGTGTACAACTGGAACACGGCAAAATATGATGCAATAATCATTTATCTCGATTAATGCTTTTTTATAATCGTTTGAAACCGAAATCTAAATCGGATATTCGATTAATTGCAAAGCCCTTTATAATAGTGGAGCATTTTTATGCCTTTTTCTACCTCAATACTTATCCTCTCCCGCGCCCCCCCTGTGAACTCTGGCGCCCCCCTTAGGGGGGCGCGGACCCCAGGTTGGGAACCACTGCACTACAGTATCATAGTAACAATCATGAATAATAGTAATAATCATAGTATACTTTGGCCTTTACTAGAGTAAATATATATACACCAACAAGTTTGTTGTCAACCACCGTAAAACAGGTAGAAGAAGAAATCGTCATGTTTGCCGTTATATGGCTTTTTTTTATCGGCTAGATAAACTTTATTTTATTGACAAAAACAGAAATTTGCTAAATCATCTCCCACATTAACAGTTTTTTTGTATCGTGTTTGACTTCGTATTTCTACTGTGAAATTGTTGAAAAGCAAAAAATCTGAGATATCATTTATCATTATCAATTATTATGACACCTTTTTTGAATCCCCTGTCAATTCTTTATATCATAAGATGTAGAAATGCTTTACTCTATACTTTGTGTATTTAAATTCATTTTTTAAAATTTGTTTATTTTAGTTTTTAGTTTTTATGTGTTTTTACCATTGTTATTTTAGTTTTTTTATGTTTCAGTTTTTTATATTGTGTTGTATGTTTGTTTCTAATGGTTATGCAATAAATAAAAAAAGACACCGGCCTCATAGCTGAATGTCGGTGCCGTCACTTATTGATCCGCAATGGATAAATGTGGCTTGTGTGGATGCTACTGTGCTACTTGATTACTAAAATAGCTTTGCTACTGAAAGCTATTTGATTAAAAAAGTAGCGGCGCTACCATCACACTTCTGAGAAATGTAGTTACAGTAGAATAGCACTGCTTTAATCAATGGCCATAGCAGAAGGCATCGTGCATATCAAACACAGGGAAAGCAACAGATTAACATTATTCAACATATCCCAGATTAAAATTATTATTTTTTTGATGTAATCTCAATTGTATTCTTAAAACAATTCATAAGTAACTGTAATTTAGTGACACATTTTATTCAGTAACTGTAACAAATTAGTTATACATTTATTTTTGTGTTTGAATTACATAACACCGTTACATGTAACTAGTTACTCCCCAACACTGAACATTGTTACTGAAACAATGTATTTTGCAGCCTTTTTCTGCTGTGAAAAAAATTACACAGCAGCTGTCCACCTGAATGAGGAAAGACAAAACTCTGCAATAAGACTTGTTATCTAAAAGATGATATTGTGGTCTTATATCAGGACATACATCTATATCTGACAACATTGGAGTCATAAATACATGTTTGAAACTCAAAGAGTAAAGCATGCCACTGGCAACACTAAGATTTTGGTATTAATTTCTAATAAGTATATTTTCAATGTAATGTGAGGGAGCGTCCACAAAGAACACATTTCTCCATTCCAATATGCTACTTTTAATCTCTATTTTTTTTCTATGTATGCTTGATGGACATGTGTGATCAATATGGTCACATCTCTTAGATATGAACACCTTGTTTTTAGACACCATTTTATATCAACATCAGTTCAAAAGCAGTGGACCAATCAGTAGAACTCGGAGGCGGGGAATATTTTGTGAGCTTTTGTTGACTGTAGACATGTCATGTAGAAACGTTTCATTTGAAGACACCATTGTGGAAAAAAAAAACATTCCTGAGTCTCGTGATTTTTGATGTAAAGATGCATTTTGTGTGAACAGCCCCTAAGTCACGTTGAGTAAAAGCACCTGCCAAATGCTTAAATGCTGCTTCATCAGCAAAATGACAATACTTTTAGTAACATGCACATTCCAGCATAGTAATAAAAAGGCTCTTTTAAATAAAAAGATGAATATCCATTCCTACAGCTGTTATTTAATGCTATACATACTTCTAAAAGCAGCAGCATTCACGTAAAAGAGTTGAAGGTCATTGGTTCAAATATTGGCACCATATTAACTTATGATATATCACGCCTTCAACACTTTCATAAAAAGCAGTCAAATTATATTTTATACACAATAATCTGGCATGTCAGAAATAATTTACAAGTAAAGATTGAAAAAACAACCATACAGACTGACTGCCCTTCTGGAATGACAAACAGGAAAAATCTAAACAGAAGAAACATTAATAGTAAAGTAGATAAGTAAAGTAGATATCTGTAGTCTTGGAACACCACTCAGCAAATCAAATATGAGAATTTATGCATCGCCAGTGTGTCTTGTGTTTTAAAGTGCAGTTTTACTCTGTGCAGCTTTTTTTTTTTTTTTTGTAAACATGGCATGGTTGACAGCTGCGCTTACAGTGCTCAGCAGATATAAGTACACCCCTCACAAATCTCTCATTAAAATGAAATATTTGCTAAAGAAAGCTTTACAACATTATATTTGTGCATATACATTAGATCAGTCAGTACTGAAGCCAAGTCTGGAGCTAATCTAACAAAATAACTTACGAGAACGGCCCAAACATTAGTACACCCAAATGTATGTGTTGGAGAAAAAAATGTAATATATATTTTTTAAAAGAGCAAAAATTATTCAGTTAAATTTTGTAGTTTGCCATTTTTCCCAATATTTTGCCTGAATTTAAAGGGCACAAATTTGACCCTTTTTCAAGATTTAATATAAGTCTTTTGTGTCTACAGAATGTGTCTGCAAGGTTTGAGCTCAAGATACCCATCAGATTATTCATTGTACCTTTTTAAATCTGGGAAATTTGAGATGTGGACATTTTATCTGTTTTTGTTAGCTGTGCCTTTAATTCAAATGAGCTGGTTCTTCCCTGCCTTCGTTCCCACGTGTGTGTCAGAGCCACTGAAATCTCTGTGTTTCTCTGATGTGTGTAGCCTTCATGTAGATAAACAGCACAGTGACAGACAAGAATGAAGCAGATCTCACTTACTACAGTAAGAATTTTCCCAACTGTTATTAGATACATTGGCCGTGGAGTTAATTCAAGCCTTTCTGCAACGATGAGTCTTACACTATGGCGTTCTAAAGTTTACACACACACACACACACACACACACACACACACACACACACACACACACACACACACACACACACACACACACACACACACACACACACACACACACACACACACTTTTAGCCTTGCACTGTTTTTGCTCAGCAAATGTGACAGGATACACGTTATTATCCACTGCTGTATGGATATCCGTTATGTTAATGTACAAAACATACCTGATTTAATGTCCACAAACCGGGATTGCAGTGTCTTCTTTTTTAATTGTTTTTACACTATGTGCTGTGGTGATGAATCACAGCGGTTTTACTGTATTTATAACAAACATAAACTGTTTTATAAACGTTTTAAACTTGTAAAACTCATTTTTGAGGTGCAGATGATCACATGGGGTGAACAGATTTTTTAATCCTGGTTGCTTTGTGCACATCCTGTCTTGTTGATATGATTATATGCTTTACTACGGAGACATGTTAATACTTGTCCTTCAATCTATTCGGTGGTCGGAAAAACGACACTCCTATGTTGCGGTGGGCCTCAAAATGTAAGGGGTTTGGGTCCTATATTAATGTCAGGAACTTTAAAAAAGAGTCTTGCTGTGTTTCTATCATTCCAATATGACTGTGGACACACTACACCTGCACACAGTTCAGTCCAAACAGCTTACAAAAGATGATTTTCATCATAGGTGGGCTTTAACCTCCTAGGGCTTACTGGCCACATGCGTGGACAGCACGTTTTAGCTTTTAAGTGGCTATTTAAAGTACTTTGTATGTTTTATATTTTGTTACAGACATACAGTGTCCTCCTGAAACTGTTTTGCAGCTTATGAAATGTCCCAAACCCTATTTTTAACTGTCCAAAATAGGAAGAAATTTTGTTTTTACTCTCTGAAAGTCAAAACATGCATTATCTTCATATGCATTAAAAACAGTGGGGAAAAAGTGTTTTATGTAAATTCGGACAATGATTCCACATATATGGACATCATTTTTCTCTAAAAGTACATCATATCAAAATATGAAACTTAGGTTTTATTTTAATTAGGTTCCCATAAGCCCAAATAGCAAAGAGACATAAAAAATGCATGTAAAAAAACACCTTGGGTCTTAAGAGGATAAGTGTATTATCTTTCTAATTCTAAAGATATGCAGTAACTAAACTATTATTTTAATAAATATATCCCTTTAATACATCTGTTTTGTTCAAATGTACCACAATACATAACCTATATTGACTGAGAAATGGATCAAAATATTCATTTTTAAAATGGGGTGTACTCATTTATGCTAAGCACTGTGCATCTTTTACAACATTTTGGCAAGACAAGCATCTTAAAAGTTTGAGAAGTGGCAGGAAGTAGCATAAAAGAAAATGTAAGGACTTGACACAAGTTTATAAATGTTGAACTTCAACTTGTCTGCGTTTCGGAATAATTTCTGTCATTATGAATGTTCTCTAAATGCGTAACTGTGTGTGTGTTGCAGCTGCGGGGCGGCCCTCGTGGCCGGGATGCCACTGTGTACCCTGCCAGTCGGCGGTGGATCCTGAGGGGCAGGAGCTGCCCACCCAGTGCAGGGGGCAGAAGAACAAACACCCCGAACACGAAATGAATCTCTGCTGGAACGAGATCAAACGCAAATCCCACAACATCAGGTACACCTCCTTTTTATTATTTTTTTCTTTCATCTGTGTCTATTAGCTTCATTGTCTTCGGGGGATTATTAACCTTTTCTTGCTAGCACCTGTTAGCGATGCACATATTGCTCATTCTCTCAGTCTCAGAGGCACTAATGAAACCGTTGATTGAGTTTGGGTTGTTCTGTGTGTCGTTTGTATGTATGTCTGTAATGCAAAGAGCCTTTGTTTACATACTTAGCCTCATAATTACAACCCAGACCCCAGCTTTACTCACAAATCTAAAAGAGCGCCATTGGTTTAGACATCTTCCCTGCAGCTTGAGGTTAGTAATATCATCCCAGCAGTGGTGGGTACTTGTCAGTATTCTGACATCATCCAGCCCAGAAGGAAGGATACAGCAATACAGCATCACACGTAATGGAAATGGATGGAATACTAAGTGGCCTCTACAAAAGAGCCTGTGGGATTACATTGCAGCAGGGTTGCGGTGGCTGACTTTTGCAGCTGGCTGTGTTTTGACAGACAGATGTCCCTTCTATCGAATGGTCTGATTTTGAATATTTGGCTTCTGAAAAAATGCAGTGGCTGACATTTGAGTTGGATTGTGTTTACATACAACTTTAGTTTAGTTGGAGAGTTTTGATGTTGTCTGGAAGAAGACGATATGTGACCTATTCTGCGAAAACCTAGCTAAAGTCATTATTTGGTGATACACTGTTTTCTTACATAAAAATACACAACGTAAAGGATATTCTGTGAAAATATAACCTTGATATCTTTAATATTGATCCAGTTAAGCCATTGGAAAGCTTTGTTGTATTGCTTGTATTGCTTGTATTTGAAACTACATCACATCTAAACAATAATTATTCAGACTAGATGTCAAATAGCAAATTATAGCTGACACATTTATGCCATATGTCATATGTAAAGAATTATAATGTTGTGTATATGTATCTATTTTGTTTTCATTTTGTCAAGCCTCCTGTGGACAGGTGTTGAGAATTAGCAAGTTTGCTAAAACACTTAAACAAATACATTTGGTTATCCACTGTAATTGTGATGTCCATGTCAAATAAATAAATAAATAAATAAATAAATAAATAAATAAATAAATAAATAAAGTGAAAATTCTTAAAGTTTTGTTAAAAATGTCTAATTTTTAAAATGTGAAGGTCCAAAAAGCATTTAAAAAACAATGAAACTTTTGATGGTGGCACAAAATCAGCATATTAGTAAAATGAAATGTTAAAATATTTAAATTAGCTTGATAATTTAATAAATATGTGAAATATAAATATATAATCCTGACTTTTTTTGGGTTATGAGTCATAATTATGATATGATATGTTAATTTTTTCCCCTTCAAATTCCCCCTCAGCTTTTTGAGTCTTGCATCATCTCATCATTCTCCACAAATAATCAGCTATAGGACATTTTATGTCATAATTTGCTGCAGTTCCACCTAGATGTAGCTGTTAAGCAGTCTGCTATCACTTCCTTGCACTTCATAAATGCTGCCCTTACCGACTCGGAATTCATCAACTTAAAGCATCAATATCTAATCACCTCATTATTTTTTACATTTTTAATTTTTTTATTTTACCTTTTGTAAAATTAAAGGAAGCTGGTTATTTTGACACATGTTGAGTTTTAAAACAAAGTAAACAGTTGAAGAAGTGGAAAATTCTACGCAGACTTATCTCGAAGTTGACCTACAAATAATATTAATAATAATAAATTAATAATAATAATAACAATAAGCAAAAATGACCACAAACTAAACCCAAATTGGAATAATTTAAACAAAATAGTCTGGAATAAAAATACAATTCTTCAATAGTTATCTGGCTATCTCAAAAATAGAGGATTTGCTCTTCAGTGTTTGGAATTTTAGGCCTTAAAAAGTCTTAAATTCATTGAAATATTGTAAATAAATCTTTAAATCCTAAATCTTTTTAAACAGGGCCCTTTTACAGCATCGATAATGTAGATTTTATTTAATTTAACAGCAAAACATCAGTAAATATTGCTATTCCGCCTAGCCTGCTTTACAGAGCTGAAGTTGGTTTATATTCACAATGGTTCACTTTTAAACAATGACAACCTGTGATGCGCCCCCTATATTACTTACTTTGCTACTCTGAATATTCTCTCTGAAATAGCATATAAGGATGGCTTGGTAAAAAATTCAATTCCTGCAGCCTGCCGGCCAATCACTAAGCATTCAGTAGTCGCTTAAGGACAAAGCATGTGAGAGAGTGAGACCAGCGATCCTTGCATGCATGAAATATTACTACACACCTGAAAAGGTGCTAGATATAAAACAGTTTTTGTTCAGAATTGTAGTATTATTAAGTACTGTAACGCTTTCTAACTGGCGAATGACATGATCTAGTGCAGGGGTCACCAATCTCGGTCCTGGAGGGCCGATGTCCCTACAGGGTTTAGCTCCAACTTGCTTCAACACACCTGCCTGGATGTTTCAAGTATACCTAGTAAGACCTTGATTAGCTTGTTCAGGTGTGTTTGATTAGGGTTGGAACTAAAATCTGCAGGACACCGGCCCTCCAGGAACAAGTTTGGTGACCACTGATCTAGTGGGTTGTACTGTCATAAAATTAATTATAATTTACTCTAATAAACAGAAATGGCATGTTTTTTATGGCTTTTACATTTTTGACACTCTTTTTTCAGATATATTTGATGCGACTTTAGCCAGGGTTTCACAGATAGGTCATGCATGTGCACATTTCTAAATGAATGGGTTATGTTGAGGGTTTTTGTTTGTATTTCCATTGTTGTTTTTGTAGTACTGGCATTATTTCCCTGATACCTAATGCTGAATCACTGCTAGACTTTGTAGATTGCATTTCAGAGCACAACAAATCATGAATAATTGACTTGAAATTTGAGCTGTTGTTTTCCCTCTCCCAGGCAGTGTGACAGAGAGAAATCAAACAGACTTGCTTGCGGGGCAGAACAGAGCTCGTCTTTGTCATTCTCATCAGAATGTTTGGCTTCGTTGGGGTCCACTCACACACACATGGCAGTGAATGTGCTGTGACCGGGGGGCTATGTGGCCGAGGGGGTTTATGGGTGGACCGAGGCATGCTGGGAATGTGTGATTTGCAGACGTGCCTGGATGTTTCTCACCTCTATGAGTGGGCGCTGATGGTGCGACTCAAAACCCACATCTCTAAATCTGCTCAAAGCATCTCTTTGTCTGTGTGGATTGTAAAATAATTAACACATGTGAACTGCCACGGCTTTGTTTCTAATTTGAGATTGTGTCGTGCTGCATTTTTGAGGTGTAAACTAGCAGTGACTGGTGCTTTCACACCTGTAGATCGATAGTTTTGTTTTGAAACAGGGAATAAAAGTATTACAATGTTGCACTATGTTCTTGGTGCGGTTTGCTTTCACACGGCAAAGTTTCTAAGCGGACCAAAATAGTAAAAAACAAGTTAAACTACTCTCGTCACATTGGTCAGAGAGCATCGGTTTATTTTTCAGAGTCCCGCTCAACTGTCATGTGTCCTTATTTTAAGTTATGGCAATGAACAATAAGACATTATAAGCGAAAAGCTGCGCTTTAATCTTGAATGGTGACACTGACAGACATCATCACCAAATATAAATCAGAGGTAAAACTTTCTCACACATAAACGTTGGCAAGAAATATGCATTACAGGCTTTACATTATAGAGTGAACTAACAGATAAACCAAACCTGCTGTTCGGTCAAACTTCCTAACGGATAAGTAGCTCTCGTTAGTAGTTCAGCATTTTTCACTTTCGTATTTGAATTGAAACGAACATTTACCGTTAGGAATGACATCTCGCCCTACTCATAATTGTAGGGATAGTTTACAGTTTAACCCAAATAATGACCAGTCTGGTAGATGAAGAAGAGCCGGAGTCAGAGATTTAAATAAATAAAACAAGTTTACTGAAGATAGTTTGCAGTTTCATTCGCAGAAGCCAGCTTCAACACTCGCAATGAGTTCCTAGGCCGCTCTGCGTACGATCACCAATCAATAACAATTATACTCTCACATGACGTCATTAACTGCTTCACACATACAGGTGTTCTAACCTGATTGGTTAAAACACAGATAGACTAGGAACATTTCCACGTGGGGTTTGTGCGTATATTCTGAACAATATCTTAAGCATAAACGTCAGACATCCATTAGACTGATTAGAGCTGGCTCCAGACCTGTGAAACAGATCAACAATCAAATAGAACACACACACTTAAAGTATAATCTGTTTCTTATCCAAGGCTGAGTGTACTCTCCTCCGTTTTTATTGAAACTGGTTAAAAACTGGTACAATCTACATTCAGGCAGTTATATTCTTACTACACAAAGTCTATCTTGAATAAAAAGTAGAATCACTTTAAAAGATTTACCCGTAAAAATAGCAAAATCACTTTAGACATTTTAGACAGTATTAACTCATAGAAATAACAATAGAAACAGTTGTTTCCAGTCCTCAGCCCTCAGTTCCACTCAAGGTCTCCGTGACCTCTGACCTAGATTGGTGGCTTCTGAAAATAGTTATAAAGAGACAGGCAAATGCACTGAACATTCTTATATTATGCAATGTGTTAACTTATTCATTAATTAAAATCACAGTTAAATACTGAGAAACAGGATGATGAAAAGGATAAACGTTGGTCCATGATGAGACGGATTGGAAAGCAGAAATCTGAATCCTTCATAATACTCTGTTCATATAGCCGTATATATACCTATTACATATCCATAATACAATGTTATATAGGCTGGTTCATTAATTCATTGGAATATACTGCTTTCTCACTACAATCGATCCGCTTCAGAGTTCATTTCAGTTGAGCCGAGACCCCCTCAATCAGGCGATCTCGGACCATTTGTTTTGGTGTGGATCTGAGCGTAATTGCTGGATTGGCATATGCCAAACGGACTGCACTAACTGGGGAAACGTGCCAGGTTCCCTCATTCTAATGTTCATTCATTCATTTTCCGT